GCAAAACCCTGTCTCTACTAAAAAAAATACAAAAATTAGCAGGTGTGGTGGTGGGTGCCTGTAATTTCAGCTACTTGGGAGGCCGAGGCAGAAGAATCGCTTGAACCTGGGAGGTGGAGGTTGCAGTGAGCTGAGATCGCGCCATTGCACTCCAACCTGGATGACAGAGTGAGATTCTGTCTCCAAAAAAAAAAAAAAAAAAAGACCACTACCAGGGCACAGATAGTGTCCCTGGACTGGAACAGTGCTGCTTGTCTTTAAGCCAGAGGGGGGTTTCTGCTTCCTCTCCTCATCCCAGGAGGAAATCATGCTGAACTTTAGAAGGGGCTCCTGCAAGTGTTGACCTCAAGCTTAAGCTTCAAGGGTTTCATGGTAGATTAGCCTTTACCACCAAGTTCAAAAGCGATTTGCAAGTTAGATATTGGGCCTCAAATTTCTTGCTTCTCAGTATCTTCCTAAAGGTGAACCAAGAAAAAACACTGTAGGGGCCTGTGGGGAAGGGAGAATAATTAGTCTATTATTCTGGATTCTTTAAACATCTATGGATGACATCCTGTTGGGTCTCTAGAGAACTACTGTCATTAAATTGTGTGTTGTCAGGCTATGCTTAGGAACCCCTAAAAGAAATAGCTCCAAAAACTTTTCCTGGAGCCTAACATGAGGCTGTCATAGAGGGTATCCTCTGTCATGATGACCTTTAGTTAGCCATCATTTTTTAGACATCAGCGTTATGTAGCTTAAACCTTTGCTTTCCATTAGAACTTTCTGTGTTCTAGATTTATAATGTGTAACATGGTAGCTACTAACCACATGTGGTTATTAAACACTTGAAATGGAAAGTAAGCCTAAGGAAATAATTGAGTATTTTATTTTATTGTAATTCATATGAATTAACATTTAAATAGCCTTTTGTGATCAGTGCCTACAGTATTGGATAGATCAAACTCAGATTATTAAAACAGTGATAGCCAACCTGTATGTAAGAGACCTGCCTCACTCAGGTCAGCTCAAACCACATATGGTCGGTTTCTGGTAGTCAAAGCATCTGTCGATTTTTCTGAACAGTTTTTTCTGCTCTGGACTAGGGGTCACTGGGGAGTCAGATTAGAAGGGTGTCATTAAAGAGAAGAGCAAGATACGGACTTGTGATAATTTTATCTTGGGAAAAGTTCATTTAGAGGGGGTGCAATGGGAAGAAAAGTGGAATTGTGGGACCAGGTGACCACACATTTCCAGGTTGGTAACATTCATATGGGATTTGCAGAGGGAAGCAAAGTCTTCCACAGTAACTCACTGGAAATCTGATCTCTGTTAAATTAGCCAATCTTTTGTTATGAGATTTAATCATATTATCTTTCAAGGATGCAGTACTTTTGGTAACTATGCCTTGTTTTCTCTGAAAAAGATATTTTGAAGATCAGCGAATACTGAATTAACTTAAAACAAGAGCAGTGTTCACTGGTCGCTGACTCAGAGAAATTAAAAAGCAGCCAACCCAACAACCAACCAGACTTTAAAGTAGAGTGTACACTGTGATCCCTTTATAAAACAAAAATTTTGGATAAAGGAAGGATTGGCAAGATGTGGATAATAATATGCTCTTCTTAGACTCTCTGCCAGCAAACTTATGTGTGCTTTGCATGTGTCATTTCATTGCATCTTGGTGACACAGCTAAGGGTTAGACACTTTCCATCTCCATTTTACAGATGGACAGATTGGGGCTCTTAGGACTTAGGAGATGCCCAACATCACCAGGTCAGCAGGCCAGAGCTGGATTGAGTCCCAAAGTCACGAGGACCCTTAACCCTAATACAGAGCTATTACCCCATGTGAATGGATGCTATCAGGCTTTCTTATTTTGCTTATTTTTTTGCAAATTGTAAGTCTTCTTAAGTAAACATGGTTTTAAAAAATAGTAGGCAGCTGATATTTGAGGGACTTTGGATTGTTCAATGAAGATTTTCTTTGTAGGAAAAACTTATCAAATGTTAGAATTAATCTACTTTTTGCCAGCCTCTTCTCATTCCTATTTGAAAAGTCTGAAGTGTATCCTTACTATGTGTAAGGCATGGTGCTAGCTGCTAGGGTTCTGGGGCAAAGAAATCACACACAGTTTGTGCTTTTATGGGACTTATCCTCTGAACACAGGAAATACTAACTCAAACAATTGTAAGAAAGTCTGATAAGGTTATGGTAGGTCAAAGATAGGGCACTGCAAAAGACAGAGAGGGACCAATTCTATCTGGAGTGAACTGGTGACGGTTCCATGGAAAGTTTAATTTAATAGAAACCTGGAAGCATGAGTGGGAGCTCATCAGGAGCCTGGTAGGCTCACTAGAGCCTGGGCAAGTGCTCGAGCGTCTAAACTGCTCCTCTGGCCTCTACCTGCTACTATTTATCAGGCTCCTTTATACAGGGTTAATGAAAGGACTGATGTGAAAGACTACCATTCCAATTCGGAACATCTGGAGATATCAGAAGGACCATTAGAAGACCCTAAGCTTGGCCGGACATGGTGGCTTATGCCTGTAATCCAAGCACTTTGGGAGGCCAAGGACGGTGGGGGCAGATAACCTGAGGTCAGGAGTTCGAGACCAGCCTGGAGACCAACATGGAGAAACCCTGCCTCTACTAAAAATACAAAATTTATCTGGGCATGGTGGTGCATGCCTGTAATACCAGCTACTCAGGAGGCTGAGGCAGGAGAATTGCTTGAACCTGGGAGGTGGAGGTTGTGGCGAGCCGAGATCACGTCATTGCACTCCAGCCTGGGCAATGAGAGCAAAACTCCATCTTAAGAAAAAGAAGAAGAAAAAAGAAGACCCTAAGCTTCTAATTTTTTTTTTTTAACCAAATACTCTGAAATGAACTTCACCAACTCATGAATACTCTTATTTTTTGGTGGTGGAATTCCACAGGACTCCATTTTGTTCACCATTCTTGCAACATTAGTAAAATAACAAAGATGATTCTCATTCCCTCTCTTTTAAGAGAAAGAACTGGAACCCAGAATGAATGACCCTGTGAGTTGCTGACAATTTCTAACTTTTGCAGAGACCAAGTTCTTCCATCCACATGGCATTGTGCTGTCCTCCCAATACCCCGAAGCATGATGCTTTCTTCATCTTTCACATGAGGGAGGTGACTGTCTCAGGGGGGTACAGTGAGAAGACCAAAGTCTCACAGAATGTGAAGGGCTCAGCTTGACTCCCTGCCCAGGGCGCTGTCGACCGGACCCAGAGGCTGGAAGAGCTTGTTTCCTGACAAAGCCTCAGATCTGAGTGCCCTGGGTTCCCCTTGGGCGGTGACTTGGCTCCTTAGGTTGCTCTGTGTTGCAGAATTCATGCTGGACTGCACCCTGACCTAGGGAGTGCAAAGATAGCCCTTGGAGGGGAATGATGGAGGAGGAGGCAATCAGACAATGAGAGTTCATTCTGACCTTGTGGGAATGCGGTGCTCCTGGTGAGGCTAGAGGAAGAAAGTGAGCATCCCTGGGAATCTCACACGAGGAAGACCAGACCAAACCCCTAACTTACAAAATGCTCTAGGAAACATGCCTCAATTGTCAGGCATGATGACTTCTGCGTGCTTGCATTTGTTTCTGTAGAAGAAAAATATTTTCAAGTTTTATTTTTAGAGATATAAAGTTTTATTTATTTATTTATTTATTTATTTTTGATACGGAGTTTCACTCTTGTCATCCGGGCTGGAGTGCAATGGTGCGGTCTCGGCTCACCGCAACCTCCACCTCCTGGGTTCAGGCAATTCTCCTGCCTCAGCCTCCTGAGTAGCTGGGATTATAGGCACGCGCCACCATGCCCTGCTAATTTTTTGCATTTTTAGTAGAGATGGGGTTTCACCATGTTGACCAGGATGGTCTTGATCTTTTGACCTCGTGCTCCACTCGTCTCGGCCTCCCAAAGTTGGGATTACAGGCTTGAGCCACCGTGCCTGGCCTATAAAGTTTTATTTTTGGAGATATAATGTTTTCTTTCAATTACTTCCACCATGAATATTAGACCACAAAGCTCGGTTCTCTTGCCATAGGGAAGGCAGAATCTCAAAAAAGTCAGTGACACCAAAGAGTCATGTTTATGCTTCTGCATCCCAATGTAGAGCATCGAAAGATGTGGAATTTAATTGCAGGGCTAGTGTCTTCAAAGAGAAGTGGTTGGCTAATCACCAAAATTTGCAGCAATTATGTTGGCAAGTAATGTTTTAAAGCTTACATGGATCATCTGTTTTAACCTCACTATTATTGTTCCAGTCTTAAAGATGAGGAAGCCGATGCCCAGGGAGAGGTTAATTAACTTGTCTAAGGTCACTCAGCTAAGAAGTGGTAGAGCCAGGATTTGAGCTCAGGTTTGAGCCCACGCTTAATCACTCTGCACATTAACTCATATATGCTGGGTATTCTGCTTGTGGTAGGGAATACAGCAGGGAACAAGACTGCCAGGCTTCTAAGAGGCTCATGGTTGAGTCTTCCAATGTGGGTCTTTTGAAATTTCATTTGGGCCTTGCAAACAGGAAAAACCAAGAGTTCTTATTTCACTCATGAGAAAAAGAAAGTAAAAAAGAGGGGAATTGTCTTGCTTAAGGTCATAGAAAGACACATTGCAAGATGGGATTAAAAACCATACGTCTTGGCCAGGCGCAGTGGCTTACACCTATAATCCCAGCACTTTGGAGGGCCAGGGCAGGTGGATCACCTGAGGTCAGGAGTTCGAGACCAGCCTGGCCAACATGGTGAAATCCCATCTCTACCCAAAATACAAAAATTAGCTGGGTGTGGTGGTGGGTACCTGTAATCCCAGCTACTTGGGAGGCTGAGGCAGGAGAATCCCTTGAACTTGTGAGGCAGAGGTTGCCCTGAGCTGAGATCGGGCCACTGCACTCCAGCCTGGGTGACAAGAGTGAAACCCCATCTTAAAAAAAAAAGGACACCATATGTCTCAGCAGCACCCTCCTGTTCTTTCTCTGCCGTGGGAACATACTCCATTTAGCAGGCTTGGGGCTAGTGTTACTATCTGGACAATTAAGCAAAACTTCCCTTGGGCTGGATCTCCAGAGCCTAAGAACACTGGTGGCCAAAGGATGGTGTCTTGTGAAAGGAGGGCAAGCAAAAGTGTAAAGCAAAATTTGCTTTTGGATTTTGGTGATACTTTTTTGCATTTTTAGTAGAGTGTCCCTGGGATAAGGGTAGATTCTGGGTCAGGGGAATGTTTGTGGATAAAGTCATTGTGGGTGTGTTCAGAGAGGCAGAGTCAGAGATTCACAGATAGAGTAATGGGATGTGGTGATTGGGAGAGGAGGAGGGCTTTTCTAATCAGGACTTTTATGGAATTATCCTTGGTCAAGAGATGGGGCGTGTTGCCAACATGGCCATCAAGGGAAAAAAAAGGAGAGATCCAGCACAGTTGCTAGTAAGAGACTCTTCTCTTGGGCTCCCACCAGCAGATCTAGGATCAGGCCTGGATATGAGATGTCTCTTACCTGTTGGGCTTTTGAAATGTACCTAATGAACAGACCAGCCCACAGAAGGATGAACAGCAACGAAATCCTTTCTGGCAATCTTCCTGGGATGCACACCATTGAGTACAGCTTTCAGGTTCTGATACTCAGGGTGGAGGCTCCAAGATGTACCCTGGAACACAACAAGTAAGAGAAGGGCCTCACCAACAGGCTGGAGTAATGTTCAGAACTCAGAAAGCCTAGGGAACTGCCAGGAAACCTGCCACCCTCATCTGCCTTGCATGGTTCCAGGGCGGTGGCATCAGGTTTTGTCCTCAGCTGCTGCCTTCCTCTGAGTTCTGAGCAGGGAAGCAGGGCATGGATATTTTTTGATCAAGAATAGAGTTTGTCAGGACTCTGTATCCACTGGTCACTCATCATCCTTGTAGGTCAGACACCAAGTCCCCATCGGGCCATGGTTGGGTCCCTATCAACGATATTAATAGTGTATATGGTGAACAAGAAAGGTTTGTACAATCATTCTGCACTGACTCATTGTGTGGTCTTCAGCAAGTCATAGAGCTTCTCATTAACAACATAGTTTACCCTTAGGTTAACCTAATGTGGGTTATTTGTGTATAGGAAGAATGAATGAAAGAAAGATAAGTTTTGGCAAAGGATGAAGACCACGCAGTAAACTGAAGGTACTGGATCAGAGAGCTGGGAGTAAGTTCTGGGAGTGACTTCTTTCATGGTAAGAGGGTGGAGATTTCAGAATGGGGTCAAAGATTCAGCTCCTTTTTCTTTCTTGTTGTCTCCCGATCAGGAGGCCAGAGCACCAAGATGCCCTACTTTCTATTGTTAGAGGAGAATAAGCATCTTTATGTTGCCTTCCTGTTTCTTCCCCCACTCACAAGTATTTCAGTTCAAAGCTAAGACCTACCTGCCCTGGGAATTTCTTCCCTAAGGCCACAACCCACAGTCTCCTTTCTATTCCTGAACTCTAAGGACGGGCCCCATTAACCCCTTTCTCCAAGCCCTTCCAGGTCCTAATTTTTGTACCTTGTGACTTGCCCTTTCTTTGCGGGCAAAAGTCAAAAGTAGGGCATTCTATTGCCCATCTGTGGGTCTATTTCTATGCAGATATTTGTAATTAGAAGGGAATCTATGGGATATTATGATCTGAAAGGAATGAAGGAAGAGGTGATGACTATAATTGTAGCAGCAAATGGCACCAGAATTGGGGTAAAAGAAGCTGAGTGCAAGCTGTTGACAATTTAACAGAGACCAATAACTAGTACTTGCCCCTGGCTCTCACCTAGCCTGTAGCTCACTGGGGCATTGCAAGACAGTGGAACTAGTCCACACTGTGAAGAGCTGGGGCTCCATAGAACAGTTTAGGGAAAGACAGCATGATCCAGAGATCTCAGAGAGGTTGGCTTTTTCAAGTTTTGACCCCTTTTCTGGGTATCTGGTCCCAATTTCATTCACAGCACTTACCAGTTTTTTAGAAATCCTCTTTGTGCCTTTCCTTGAATTCTGATTCTCCAATTCACTCTACCCTGCGCATTCCTATTTTCTTGAAGCTTGCTTAGTCCCTCTTATTCCTACAAACCTGCATGCCCTTTCTGAAACTTCTAAAGGAGGACCTAGCCTCGCCAGACACATGAGCTACCACACATATCCCTCTTCTGAGCCCCAGTATTGTGAAGATGTTGTCCCCATAGAAGAGTGGATGTATGATGAATAACAGTTCTTTTCCCATTTGGTATTGGTTAGATCAACATTACTATAGCCAGAGCTCTTTTGAGTTGAGCTGGGCTGTGGTGGCTACTGAGATGGACTCTCACTGTCCCATTGATGCGAATTGCCGGTAATTGTGCAGTACCTCTGAAGTCTGAAAATGTGTAATAAAGTGTTTTTCCCCTAACTTCCAAAACATCCTCCAAGGCCAAGGTTATGTAGATTCCAGCTTGAGTTCTACCAACTTCATTGTTTCTGTTTTAATGCTTGAAAAGGGAGTCCAAGCATCCATGAAGGAGCCACAGGAAGCAAGACTAAGCTGGATGATAATGCTGATCACATTTACAGCATTTAATATTACTGAGCATTTACCATGGTCTAGTAAGAGTGAGCTATGTCTGCATGCATTATCCGTTCTCCTCCAACTATCCCCATGTAATCATATCCGTTATAAGGATAAAAACCTAAGGCCCAGATACTTTGCCCAAGATCACTCAGTAAGCAACAGGGCAGAGATTCAAACCTAGATCTTGTCAACAATAAAGCTTGGGCCCTTAAACATGACACAGTATTTTTCCAAGAGGTGTGACAGACTGTCAGCTCTCAGATCCTCTCCTGTCCACAGATGTTACTTCCCTCTCGGGCCCAGACCCAGCACCTACTCAGAAAATGCTGCTTGAGACTCCCAGGGACCAGCGGCAGTGCTAGGCAGAACACCAGTAGGAACTGGAGAGGCAGCACGGGATTCATGGTGCCAGTGGGACAGGTGAGTAAGTTCTGGGCCAAGGATTGCTGGGTTTGACCAGGCACTGCCGTGAGGAGAAGAGAGGGAAAGAGGGCAAAGTAGAGGCCCGCTGTGACTACTAGCCTTTCACTGTGTACTCCAATCAAAAAGGCAGGGCAGAAATCCAAGCACCTCCCAATCACACCCACTCCAGGGCCACATAGTGTTTTCATATCCCCCGTATCCCCTAATCTTGATCTTGCTATCTCTCTCATCTGTATCTAGATCTTATTCATGTCCCTTAACACTATTTATTAATTTTTCCCTGTGAAAATTGTATATGTCTTTGTTATATTTATTCACAGAGGCTTGATTTTTTTTTTTTTTTTTGAGAAGGAATCTCACTCTGTTACCCAGGCTGACGTGTAGTGGCACAATGTCGGCTCACTGTAGCCTCCTCCTCCTGGGTTCAAGCAATTATCATGCCTCAGCCTCTTGAGTAGCTGGGATTAGTAGGCATGCACCACGATGTCTGGCTAATTTTTGTAATTTTAGTAGAGATGAGGTTTCACTATGTTAGCCAGGCTGGTCATGATCTCCTGACCTCAGGTGATACGCCTGTCTCAGCCTCTCAAAGTTCTGGGATTACAGGTGTGAATCAGCGTGAAGTTTTAAAAGGAAATTGTAAATGCTATCATAACTTTTCAATTAATTCCTTTATTATAAAGACACATGCATATATATGTTCATTGCAGCACTATTTACAATAGCAAAGACCTGAAATCAACCCAAATGCCCATCAATGATAGACTGGATAAAGAAAATGTGGCACATATACACCATGGAGTACTATGCGGCCATAAAAGGAATAAGACCATTTTCTTTGCAGGGATGTGGATGGAGCTGGAAGCTATTATCCTTGGCAAACTAAAACAGGAACAGAAAACCAAACCCCCATCTTCTCACTTATATGTGGGAGCCGAACATGGACACAGGGAGGGAAACAACGCACCACGGGGCTTGTCAGGGAAGGGAGAGCATCAGGAAAAATAGCTAATGCATGCTGGGCTTGATACCCAGGTGATGGGTTGATAGGTGCAGCAAACCATCATGGCACATGTTTGCCTATGCAACAAATCTGCACATCCTGCACATTTACCCTGGAATTTAAAATAATATCAAAAATATAGCTCAATCATATAGAGTTTTGTGTAATGAATTGATAAAAATAATTTATAAATAGCAAAGACCTGGAACCGACCCAAATGCCCATTGATGATAGACTGGACAGGGAAAATGTGGCACATATACACCATGGAATATTATGCAGCAATAAAAAATGGTGAGTTCGTGTCCTTTGTGGGGACATGGATGAAGAACATCATTCTCAGCAAACTGACACAAGAACAGAAAATGAAATACCACATGTTCTCACTCATGGGTGGGTGTTGAACAATGAGAACACGTAGACACAGGGAGGGGAGTACTACACACAGGGGTCGGTTGGGGGGAATAGGGGAGGGACAGCGGGGGTGAGGAGTTGGGGAGAGATAGCATGGGGAGAAATGCCAGATATAGGTGAAGGGGAGGAAGGCAGCAAATCACACTGCCACGTGTGTACCTATGCAACTATCTTGCATGTTCTTCACATGTACCCCCAAACCTAAAATGCAATAAAAAAATAATTTATAATTAGGCCGAGTGTGGTGGCTCACACTTGTAATCCCAGCACTTTGGGAGGCTTAGAGGGGTGGATCACTTGAGGTCAGGAGTTTGAGACCAGCCTCGCCAACGAGGCAGAACCCCATCTCTACTAAAAATACAAAAAATCATCTGATTTTTTGATGGCACGTGTGATGGTCACGTGCCTGTAATCCCAGCTACTCAGGAGGCTGAGGCACGAATTGCTTGAACCCAGGAGGTGGAGGTTGCAGTGAGCCAAGATCGTGCCACTGCACTCCAGCCTGGGTGGCAGAGTGACACTCTGTCTTAAAAAGAAAAAAAGAAGAATTTATAATGAACACATCTATTATGTGCAAATAGCCACTTCTTCTTAAAAGGGCTCATGTTATAATGTCTGGCTTCACAACTATGGAAATTGGTGTGGCTTCCTGTAGCTACCCTCACCAAAAAAGAAAAAAAAAAAAAGAAAAATCATGTCGTTTCTTTTTGAGAAATAATGACATTGTAAATATTTGTATGAGTAAATAAAGGTGGCAGAAGGTAGGTAACAAAAGATAGGTGTTTCAAAAATGAGAAACTAAAAGATTATTTACATTAAATATACAGGGGAACTAAAAGATAATGCAATAAAATATGGGTTAATTCTAAGCACCTTTTAAGAAATTATATTTTTTCTTTTTTTTTTCCTGTAAAGAATGTTATAATTAGAAACAGATATATTTATTTATTTATTCTGTGGAAAGTTTTCCTTTTAACAGAAAAGGAAACCTCTGTTAGCAAGAACACAAGACTGATTATGTTGGAGGAGGCGTTATTCCTGCAGAAGCCCTATCCTACAGGAAGAAGGACAGGGCCAGGAGAAGGCAAAGGCAGGAAGCAAGGACTCTTGCTCTGCCCTGACTTGGCCAGTGGAGGCAGCGAGGAGCTGAGGATCATTCCTTCTTTCTTTCCTTCCCTCTTCACAGGCAACTCTGCAGGGAAGCGTGTGACCACCTGGCCAGACGTAGGGCTCACGCTCTGGTCAGAATCATACCATTCCAGACACTGCTGCCAGTTCTGGTTCTCTGCGTGTTGCTGCTGCAGGCCCAGGGAGGATACCGTGACAAGAAGAGGATGCAGAGTAGGTGATGGGCTTCTGGATAGGTGAGGGGGAGTAGGGTAGGGGAAACGGAGGAGCTGTGTCCAGTCTGAGTAGGACCTAGGAGTTGGAACCTTTCTGCATATCTAGCTCTGACTGCAATGCTTTGCAGACTCTGGGCTGTCCCAAACTATGGCCCTCCAGTCCCTTAGCTGGCCCTAGGAATAGTAATGGGAATGAAGGGGGAACCTACATCTTTTGTTCATTCCCAATACTTAGAGACAAATGGTAGATCCCATAGTGAAAGGTGAGTCAGGGCTGAGAATCCAATGGGAAAGCAGGACAATTATTCTTTGATTTATGCACATTTGTGAGGAGTAAACATCTAGAAGTGGTTATGAGGCTAGGTGTAGGTGTAGAAATGCGTATAAGTGTAGGGTAAAAAGGACATACAGCAATGAAAAGTTGGAGTACACAGAACAAAGTTAAGATTATTATCAAAGGGACCAGGGGGTGATGGGAAGGAATATTAGGGACAGTGATGGTGAGAAGAGGAGAGAGAGGGATGAGAGGCAAGTTCATCTTCTTTTCTGGACTCTGCAAATTCTGGAGAATAAGGGAGGGTTTGGAAATGTCTCAGGCTTCTTTGAGCTCTCAGGGTCAGACTGTAGATTCTATGGGGGTGACTTCACCAAGACCATGATTAATAGGGAGACAGAGTTCTGAATGCACGTGTATGAAGAGGGTCCAGGAAGCCCAGATATTGAGGTCTACTGGAGTGAGATGGCAGGGCGGGGTGATAGGATTTAAGATACTACCAATTACCGCCAGGTGCGGTGGTTTATGCCTGTAATTCCAGCATTGTGGAAGGCTGAGGTGGGCAGATTACGAGGTCAGAAGGTTGAAACCAGCCTGAGCAACATGGTGAAACCCCGTCTCTACTAAAAAAAATACAAAAATTAGCCGGGTGTGGTGCTGAGCAGCTGTAATCCCAGCTATTTGGGAAGCTGAGGCAGGAGAATCGCTTGAATACGGGAGGCGGAGGTTGCATTGAGCCGAGGTTGCAGTGAGTCGAAATCATGCCACTGCACTCCAGCCTGGATGGCAGAAGGAGATTCTGTCTAAAAAAAAAAAAAAAAAAGATACTACCAATCACTAGGATGGGCTAGAAGGAAGTTCCCTGAAAAGTGCAGGAGAATCGTGGCGGGAGAGGGGTGGGAGGCTTGGTTCTGCCTTGGAGGTGCTTCAAGCTTGAGAAGGGTGTTCTGTAGATGTGTGGTTTCATTGACTGCTCCTGCACCATTTCAGGAATCAATATCTGTAAGAAGCAACCCAGCATAGATCTATGTATCCACCACTGCTCATATTTCCAAAAGTGTGAAGCAAATAACATATGCTGTTCAGTCTTCTGCAGGAACAAACGTTCCTGCATGAGCACCCTGTGAGTAGGAGAGTGGGCTGGGATGTGCATCCTGCACTTGGTGGCAGGCACCTGTAATCCCAGCTACTTAGGAGGCTGAGGCATGAGAATTGCTTGAACCTGGGAGGCAGAGGTTGCAGTGAGCTGAGGCTATGCCACTGCACCCCAGCCTGGGTGACAGAGTGAGTCTCTGTTTCCAAAAAACAAAAAATAAAAATTTAAAAAATTAATAAATTTAAGAAAATTGAAATTATTTCAAGCATTCTCTCAGACCACAGTGGAATAAAACTGGAAATCAATTCCAAAAAGAGCCTTCAAAACCATGGAAATATATGAAAATTAAATTACCTGCTCCTGAATGATCATTGGGTCAAAAATGAAATCAAGATGGAAATTAAAAAATATTTGAACTGAACAACGATAGTGACACAACCTATTAAAACCTCTGGGATACAGCAAAGGCAGTGCTGAGAGGAAAGTTCATAGCCCTGAATGCCTATATCAAAAAGACTGAAAGAGCACAAATTGACATTCTAAGGTCACACCTCAAGGAACTAGAGAAACAAGAACAAATGAAACCCAAACCCAGCAGAAGTTACCTCGGAAATAACACCACACATCTACAACCATCTGGTCTTTGACAAACCTGACAAAAACAATTAAAAAGAATTCCCTATTTAATAAATGGTGTTGGGAAAACTGGCTAGCCATTTGGAGAAAGCTGAAACTGGATCTCTTCCTTACACCTTATACAAAAATTAACTCAAGATGGATTAAAGACTTAAACATAATACCTAAAAACCACAAAAACTCTAGAAGAAAACCTAGACCATACAATTCAGGATATAGGCATGGGCAAAGACTTCATGACTGAAATGCCAAAAGCAATGGCAACAAAAGCCAAAATAGACAAATGGGATCTAATTAAGCTAAAGAGCTTTTGCGCAGCAAAAGAAACTATCATCAGAGTGAACAGACAACCTACAGAATGGGAGAAAATTTTTGCAATCTATCCATCTGACAAAGGCTAATATTCAGAGTCTACAAAGAACTTCAACAAATTTACAAGAGAAAAAAAAAAAAAAACCAAAACCCATCAAAAAGTGGGCAAAGGATATGAACAGACACTTCTCAGAAGAAGGCATTTATGCAGCCAACAAACATGAAAGAAAGCTTATCATCACTGGTCATTAGAGAAATGCAAATTAAAACTGCAATGAGATACCATCTCACACCAGTTAGAATGGCGTTCATTAAAAAGTCCGGAAACAACAGATGCAAGAGAGGATGTGGAGAAATAGGAATGCTTTTACACTGTTGGTGGGAGTGTAAATAAGTTCAATCATTGTGGAAGACAGTGTGGTGCTTTCTCAAGGATCTAGAACTAAAAATACCATTTGACCCAGCAATCCTATTACTGGGTATATACCCAAAGATTATAAATCATTCTACTATAAAGATACATGCACATGTATGTTTATTGTGGCACTGTTTACAATAGCAAAGACCTGGAACCAACCCAAATGCCCATCAATGATAGACTGGATAAAGAAAATGTGGCACATCTACACCATGGAATACTATGCAGCCATAAAAAAGAATGAGTTCAGGTCCTTTGCAGGGACATGGAGGAAGCTGGAAACCATCTTTCTCAGTAAACTAGCATAAGAACAGAAATCCAAACACTTCAGTTTTCACTCATAAGTGGGAGTTGAACAATGAGAACAAATGGACTGCGGGGGTTGGCATCACACACTGGGATCTGTTGGGGGTCTGGGGGAGGGATAACATTAGGAGAAATACCTAATGTAGATTACAGGTTGATGGGTACAGCAAGCCACCATGGCACATGTATACGTATGTGACAAACCTGCACATTCTGCACATGTACCTCAGGACTTAAAGTATAATGTTTTATAAAAGAAAATAACCAAGATCAGAGCAGAACTAAATGAAATTTGAACCAAAAAAATACAAAAGGTAAATGAAACAAAAAGCCGGTTCTTTGAAAAGGTAAATAAAACTGATATACCATTAGCAAGATTAACCAAAAAATAAGAGAGAAAATCCAAATAAGCTCATTAAGAAATGAAATGAGAGATGTTACAGCTGACACCACAGAAATACAAAAGATCATCTAAGACTACGATGAACACCTTTATACACATAAACTAGAAAACCCAGAAGAGATGGAGAAACTCCTGGAAAAATACAACTCTCCTAACAAATCAGGAAGAATTAGATACCCTGAACAGACCAAAAGCAAGGAGAGAGATTGAAATGGTGATTTAAAAATTACAACAAAAAAAGTCCAGGACCAGATGGATTCACAGCAGAATTCTACCAGACCTTCAAAGAAGAATTGGTGCCAATCCTTTTGACACTATTCCACAAGATGGAGAAAGAGGGAAACCTCCCTAATTCATTCTATGAAGCCAGCAGCACCCTAATACCAAAACCAGGAAAGGACATAACCAAAAAAGAAAACTACAGATGAATATCCCTGATGAATATAGATGCTAAAATCCCCAAAATACTAGCTAACTGAATCCATGGTTTAACATATGAAAGTTAATAAATGTGATACACCACATAAACAGAATTAAAAATAAAAATCATACGATCATTCTCAATAGATTCAGAAAAAGCATTAGGCAAAATCCAGCATCCCTTTATGATTAAAACTCTCAGCAAAATTGGCATACGAGGGACATACCTCAATGTAATAAAAGCTGTCTATGACAAACCCACAGCCAACCTAATATTGAATATGGAAAAGTTGAAAGCATTCCCTCTGAGAACTGGAACAAAACAAGAATGTCCACTCTCACCACTCCTCTTCAATGTAATACTGGAAGTCCTAGCCAGAGCAATCAGACAAGAGAAAGAAATAAAGGGCATTCAAATCAGTAAAGAGGAAGTCAGTCACTGTTTGCTGAAGGTATGATTGTTTACCTTGAAAATTCTAAAGACTTCTCCAGAAAGCTCCTAGAACTATTAAAAGAATTCAGCAAAGTTTCCAGATACAAGATTAATGTACATGAATCAGTAGCTCTTCTATACACCAACAATGACCAAGAGGAGAATCAAATCAAGAACTCAACCCCTTTTACAATAGCTACAAAAACAAACAAACCCAAAAAACAAAACAAAACAAAAAAACCTTAGGAATATATTTAAGGAGGTGAAAGACCTCCACAAGGAAAACTGCAAAACGCTGCTAAAAGAAATAAATAGATGACACAAACAAATGGAAACATATCCCATGCTCATGGATGGATAGAATCAATATTGTGAAAATGACCTAATGCCAGAAGCAATCTACAAATTTAATGCAATTCCCATCAAAATGCCACCATCATTCTTCACAGAAAAAACAATTCTAAAATTCATATGGACCAAAAAAAGAGCCCACATAGCCAAAGCAAGACTAAGCAAAAAGAACAAATCTGGATGCATCATATTACCTGATTTCAAACTATACTATAAGGCCATAGTCACCAAAACAGCATGGTACTGGTGTAAAAATAGGATCATAGACCAATGGAAAATAGTAGAGAACCCAGAAACAAACTCAAACACTTATGGCCAACTGATCTTCGACAGAGCAAATAAAAACAAAGTGGGGAAAGGACACCTTTTCCTTTCTTTTCTTTTTTTTTTTGAGATGGTATCCTGCTCTGTTACCCAGGCTGGAGTGCAGTGGCACGATCTCAGCTCACTGCAACCTCTGCCTCCTGGTTTCAAGCCATTTTCCTGTCTCAGCCTCCTGAGGAGCTGGGACTACAGATTCACACCACCATGCCTGGTTAATTTTTGTATTTTTAGTAGAGACAGGGCTTTACCGTATTGGTCAGGCTGGTCTTGAACTTCTGACCTCAGGTGATCCACTCGTTTTGGCCTCCCAAAGTGCTGGGATTACAGGCATGAGCCATCATGCCCAGCCAGGACACCCTTTTCAACAAACGGTGCTGTGATAATTAGCTAGCCACATGTAGAAGAACGAAACTGGATCCTCATCTCTCACCTCATACAAAAATCAACTCAAGAAGGATTAAGGACTTAAATCCAAGGCCTGAAACTATAAAAATTCTAGAAGATAACATTGGAAGAACCCTTTTAGACATTGACGTAGGCAAGGATTTCATGACCAAGAACCCAAAAGCAAATACAATTAAACGAAAGATAAATAGCTGGGACTTAATTAAACTAAAGAGCTTTTGCATGGCAAAAGAAGCAGTTAGCAGAGTAAACAGATAATGCACAGAGTGGGAGAAAATCTTTTCAATCTATACATCTGACAAAGGACTAAGACCCAGAATCTACAAAAAACTCAAATTTGCAAGAAATGAAAAGTGAGCTAAGGACATGAATAGACAATTCTCAGAAGAAGATATACAAATGGCCAATGAACATATGAAAAAATTCTCAACATCACTAACAATCAGGGAAATGCAAATCAAAACCACAATGTGACACCATCTTACTCCTGCAAGAATGACCATAATCAAAAAAATTAAAAAAAAAAACCGGTAGATGTTTGTGTGAATGCAGTGATCAGGGAAAACTTCTGCACTGCTGGTGGGAATGTAAACTAGTACAGCCGCTATAGAAGACAGTGTGGAGATTCCTTAAAGAACTAAAAGTAGAGCTACCATTTGATCCGGCAATCCCACTACTAGATATCTACCCAGAGGAAAAGAGTCATTGTACAAAAAAGATACTTGAACACACATGTTTATAGCAGCACAATTTACAATTGCAAAATCATGGTACCAACCCAAATGCTTATCAACCAGCGAGTGGATAAACTGTGGTATACATATACAATGGAATATACGATGGTGGTGAGATAATATGTACAACAAACTCCTGTGACTCTAGTTAGCTTATATAACAGACTTCACATATACCCCAAACCTAAAATAAAAGATTAAAAAAGGTTTTTTTGTAAGCTGAATTTGAATTATATTTTAATCAAAATGAGGCAACACATGAATTTTTTTTCCAGCCAAAGGAAAACAT